CAATTTCTCCCGCCATCCGAGTGCGCTCCCCTGAGAGAATGATGAGAAGCCATTAATTTGAAGGGGTTGATCCGGGGGCATCACACTCTCTCCCAACTCAATGACAGCTCCACATTTCTGGTGGGACTCAGCTGCAATTCGGCGCATTGACTACCCACCCCTCACCTGCCCCGGAACCAGCATTCTTGCTCACCTGATAACCCTCGTTCTGGGGAATGATGGCCACTTCAAACCGGTCGAAAGCGGTCTCCACTTCCGTGCGGACCAGGATGATGTTGCGCGGGTCGTGCACGGAGGTGACGCCCAGCAGCGGCTGCACAGCGTAGGAGTAAGTGGAGGATCTCATGTTTTGGTGTATGTGTGCGCGCGCGTGTGTGTGTGTGTGTGCGCGCGTGTGTGAGCAGCTCTAATCACATAGACTGTTGAGGAAAGGACTGGCTCAAGATTGATAACAACCGTCACCCGGACCCATACGTGCAACAGCAAGAGGATAAAAGCTCTGAAACGCGGCAGGGGTAAGGGGATTCAGTTAGCAACTATTGAGTGGATGCGGAGCAGCCCAAGGACACGGCCGGGTGGAAGAGACCCAGTCTTGTTGGTAGCATGCTCATGTGTTGGCCCACTCCGGGCACAATTAATAACTCTACAGCAACTCTACACCGCAGCCATCCAGACTTACCAGGTAACCCCGGTTCCAGCCCTGACGGAAGATATGCCCCGCCTTGATACTGGCGGCTGGCATGTCCTTTCCGGTCACCATGCACTTCACGGTCTCGGGCCTGGCGCTGTAGCCGTAGTACCTGAAGGCATTCTCGCGGTAGGGCGTGCTGTCCTTGCTGGATGTCGCTGTGATGTCGCCCTGCATCAGGACTCGCACGAACTGGCTCTGGTCCCTGATTTCCTCCTGGATCTCCCCAAGCTCCTCCCCAAGCTTCAGCTTGAGCTGGAGATTTTCCTCCCGGATCTTCTCCCCAAGCTCCAGCTTGAGCTTTTCCTCAAGCTGGAGATTTTCCTCCCGGATCTTCTCCCCAAGCGTTTCCTCAAGCTGGAGATTTTCCTCCCGGATCTTCTCCCCAAGCGTTTCCTCAAGCTTTTCCAGCCGCTCGAGAACAACTGCAGATGTTTATTCCGGAGCGAACACATGTTAGTAATTGGCGTACAATCTATGCGCGTTCACACTATTTACAGATCTGAAGGTATGGCAAGGTAAGGCGGAGCACTAGAGCCGGAGTCTTAGGTCAGGTCAAGCCTGGGCTAGCACAACCAACTCACCAGCTCCAGCCGCGCTCCCCATGCCGAGGCCAGCCGCCGAGGCTGCACAACATGAGAGCAATTGAGGGGACACGTCGAGATGAGATCTTGGTGCGGGGTTGCTGGGTGCGTGTGAGTGAACTCCTTTCCAGATTTGAACCCGCACCACTCTTACCTTTCACGGACCTCATGAACTCAACAATTGCCTCGTTGTCACCGTCTATCGGAAACACCTCGAGCTCCTCCCCCAATAGTTTGGACAGGGCGAAGCACAAGTCGCCGAGCTCCTTCCCGCGCACGTCCAGCGCCTTCGCGGCAGCGGTGAAAGCCGCAGCCGCCTCCTTTCTGCTGACCATTCGGCCTTCTTTATGCTGACTACCGTGGTGCTACTTATAGTTCGTGCTACAATAATTCGGGAGGCACCACGAATATGTAGCATGTACAAATTCTAAGGTATCCCCAGGGACCGCAGCCCCGAAATATCGTACCCTCCGAAGCCGGTCGATCAAACTTTGCAAAAACTAGGATTTCAAGGCGGAAATCAGCTCTTAAATACATAGAATATAGTCATAAGCGTAGGACATGAACAACGCTGGAAAACGTGCAAGACAGGCAACCCTGCTTCAATACGGGATGAAACCGCTAGCACCAAACGCTCCGGTGAGCGACCTAGCTGGAGTTGCACCAGGCTTGATGATGCTGTTGTCGAGGCCCAGCGTGAGCGAATGGAGCACGAGGAGGTTGCTAGGCGCGAGCGCAATGCGGCTGGTTATTAGATCGTTGCCACTGGTACTGAACTGTACGATCGGTCCAGAATTTGCTAGGGCGTTTCCAAAGTGCGAAAATGGTGAGAGACCATGAGCCTAAGGGTTCCCGGTGGAGGGAGACTGACTGGAAGCTGCAGTTTGAAAAGCCCCGAAACGTTGGAAGGGGCCCCGAAATTTGTATCATGCCCGCAAAATCTGGACCGGCCTTCCCCGAAATTCAAAGAGCACGTACAAATTTCAGAAAGTTTTTTGACCCCTCCCCGAACAAAGCGATCACGAACTATAAGTAGCACTACGGTACTTCGGCATCTTCCGCATCTATATACTTTAGTACGCGGTCAGCTGCTTCACCAGGACCCCGGTGTTTATTTATATAGGAAAAGTCCAAACAGAGGCCCCATAGGTGTTAGGTCCGCGGGTGATCCGTACTCCGAGAGACTAGATGTGTCGAGAGACATTGGATTGGCTGGGACAGATAGACTCCGCCAAGAACCCGGAGATTGACAGACAGTCATACAGAACCTATGACCTGGGATTGGCCGACAGGCTGACGAGTGTGCGTTGCAAACGTTTCGGATCTTGAACCCGGCTAGTCTTAAAGCCCTTCTGCGTGTCTGTCAGCATCGATTCTCAGAGTGACACACTTGTGATGAGCATCCGCATTGACTCATTTTGTTACTCTAGCGGTGTCTTACAGTCTCTAAGACTAGTGATTACCATCAGTTCGATGATACATGAATGCAGTCTCATAGCTAGCCTGTGACTATAAACGCTTATCGGCATGTCCGAGCGCACGAAGCCACTGCTGTTAGAGCATAGAGAGGCGCAGTGAAGCCATAGCCACCGAATATACTACGCACATCTACGCAATAACGTCCTTTTATCTGTAAACAGCATTAGTGTGGACCTCTAGACGGAAAACAGGGTACAGGAAGGTTGGAACAGCGGCGAGGGACCTGCAGAGTTGATGCGCCGGGGATGTGCGGCCTTTGCTGCGAAAGCCTTCAGGGAGCCGTCTTAGGTGGCGACATGATATTAATCCGACGAGTTCCACTTACGGCGCAGCCATCGTGTGTACATAGCCACTTTCTGTGTTTTCGAGAGACTCGGGCACATGGCCGTTTCACCATCTCCCCTCCCCTTTTCCACTCCACCACACCTTCACTCGCACATCCACCGTGACGGCGCCAACACAAGCACCAGCTGTTCTCTGTCCCATTGGGTCTTACATACTCGATGAACTTTCAACCGTCATTCACAATGAAACTCGTTAGGTCGTTAGGTCGTCACAGATGACTACGCCCCCAACGACCCCTGCTCTTGTGTGTGATCAGTGCTTGGGTTCTCACACGCACACATCATGGACCTCCGTCACGACCGCTACAGGCCCTCCTGTGCATGGAATATCACTCGCCTCAACAAGACCTCGTACACGAGCTGCAGTGGCAGTAGCAGCAGGATAGGGTCGTATTATCCGTATTCGCTTCC